TGCCTGCTCTCCCAACCAATTTCCCACTATTCTATTCTAACCATTCTAACTACCTGCAGAAAGTTTGCTGAAGTGTACTTTCCATCCATTAACCCATCACGTAGTTGGAGAGATTGATTGGCTTGCTATCTTACCATTCGTAGTTTAAGTCTGACATGCTGGTAAGGTTGGATCTCCTTCACTACCACTCCCATGCACTTCCACCAGTGAGGCATCATGAAAAGAAAGGCATAATGTGACTTCATTAATTAGCATTCGTCAACAAAGAGCTAGTGTAGGGGCTAGAGTTATGACAGCTTCCATTGTCATTACAATGGAAGCTGTCATAACTCTAGCCCCTACACTAGCTCTTTGTTGACGAATGCTAATGGGAAAGAAGGTGGTGGGTTTCACTGACCCATTTCTTCAACCACCATAAGCCACTTGGTGCTCATTTGCCTTCCCTTAAGAAAAGAAGAAATAAAAGTTTCAGCTTCCTCTTCTGTAACGGCTACCCAGGCAGTAATCAGCCGTTGGAGATGTCCTTTTCTCCCCGACAAGTCGCTGTGTAGTGGTGGAGTTGCTTATTCCCATTCACTAGATCAGGCAGGGCTCTTAAAGGAGTTAGGTGATTAAGCTGCATATCCCCTTTCAAGAACGAGACAAGGCTATGTTTTGAAGGGTCAGGAAGAACTGAATTTTAATGGCAGGTACTCTCCTCTTATGTGATTCTGCCTATGCAAGGGAGACACCCACATAATTAATACAATAACCAATAAAACATAAGGTACATCCCACACATCTCCTCCCCTCAGATAAGCCTGTAACACAATTAACAAAGTAACACAATTAACAAAGTTACATTTTCCCCCAGGTTTTGGATGTACCCCAAATATCTAGGGGGGAACAACATAGTTAAAAATCATCTCATTCGGTTAAGGGGTTCGGGAGATATGGCACTTTAAAGTTTTGACCGACCGCACAGGCACAATAGCCAAAAATAGTTCCATAAGTTTTTGCCTTGCGGTCGGTCTTTGTTCGTGAGTTAAAAGTCCCGAAAGACTTGCCATCCGTGCGTATCTTGACGTTCGCCATAATCCCCATATGCTACTTAGTCTTTCTACCGAACGGCAGGATGTTCGGTAGTTTTGGCATGGATTTCTGGTACTATGGAGGTCTCAGCGGTGTTCGCCTACTCGAGTGTCCGATTTTAGTTCCAGACACTCGATGGCAAACCACTGCTGTTTGGGAGTTAAGATGGCCACGGCCACATGTAAAAGTCCCCAAATGGCGGCCACCCAGGAACTTAAACAAAGCGTTCGTGTGTTTCCCATGAAGACTGTATTCGCCGATCAGGGAGGTAAATTACAACATAATTAGGTAGCAGGGTGGTCCGGTGTTCGGTAGTTTGCATTTGTATGATGAATGCAGTGTCCCTACCGTCTGGTTCTCACAATTGAGCGAATGCTTTGAAAGTCCCGAAATGCTTTATAGAAAAATCCCCACAAAAGCAGGTAAGAACCTCCAATTTGTATCCAGCTTGATGTCATTTTCTGAATAAATGATACATCCTTATAATCCGAGGTTTCTGATCCTGTGTATGTGCCCGGCTAGCTCTTAAAGGGTCAGTAATAGTGTTTCCAGGCACAGGGTAGGGTTTTGTTACATGGCTCCCCTTTTGTGGAACACCCCGGCATACCCGGATTGATCCTTTTCGGGTCAACTTGGGGCTGTCCGGCCGGCTGTTAGGGTAGAAGTTCGGTTTGCCTGGACAGTCCATCCGCGTTCCCGTTGAACTTGCCAGGACGATATTGGGTGGAAAAATGATATGGTTGCAGAGCTAGGCTCCATCTCAGTAAGCGGCCATTATCTCCAGCCACTCTATTCAACCATACCAGGGGATTATGATCAGTAATAAGTGTGAATTCCTGACTGTACAAATACGGGGTAAGTTTCTTTAAAGCCCAGACCAGGGCTAAACACTCCTTCTCCACTGCCGCGTAGCTCACGTCCCTGGGTAACAATTTTCTACTCAGGTACGCGACAGGGTGTTCTCCTCCACCTTCCCCGATCTGGCTTAGAACTGCCCCCAGTCCGTACATGGACGCATCTGTATCGACGGCAAATCTTTTGTTAGGGACGGGGGCAGATAGAACAGGAGCGTTGAATAGCGCTTTCTTTAATGCTTGGAAGGCTGTTTCACAGGAGGGAGACCACAGGACTATCCTAGGCAGGTTCTTTTTAGTTAGGTCTGTCAGGGGCTTAGCGATGGCGCTATAGTCAGGGACAAATTTCCTGTAATACCCAGCTCTTCCTGGGTCTTGGTGTGGGGTGTGGGCCAGTTGGCCATGGCCTCGACCTTGGCTGGCTCCGGTCACTGTTTCCCAACTCTACCCGGTGTCCCAAGTACTGGACATCGGCCATGCCAAAGTGGCACTTTTCTGGCTTCAGAGTTAGGCCTGTGGCCCGAATCTGGTCCAGTACGGCCTCTACATGTTTCAAGTGTTCCCCCCAGGTCTCGCTATAGATCGCAATGTCATCCAGATACGCACAAGCGAAGTCCTGGATGTCATCAAGGAGCCTATCCACCAAGCGTTGAAATGTGGCTGGGGCATTCTTCATCCCGAATGGCATGACCTTGAATTGGTACAGGCCAAATGGGGTGATGAATGCCAACTTGGGGATAGCCTCCTTGGCCAGGGGGATCTGCCAGTATCCCTTGCACAAATCAATAGTGTTACGGTACCTCCAGGAACGAAATGTACAAACCGCCGTTTAGCGAGTATTCCCCGTTCGCAATAATGTGGTCGGGTAGCGGGTATAATAAAACCAGGCGAACCGCCAGCCAGGGAACACTCCAAACTCCCGAACGGTACCTGTACGGCTAATTCCCTTCGCAAGCCGCAAATCCACGAACGGCAATTAATAACCGAACGACAATATCTCCCAAGCGGCAAATAATCCAAGTAAGCAGTCTCTCGCCGCTGGTATCCAAATCCCCCCAATAACGAGACCAAGCTCCGCTTTGAGGGTAAAACACGAACTGGTTTACTGTGGGCTACCTGCCCGGTATTTATGCAGGTCTCCCACTTGGTGGACACTCCCCTAGGGGACCAAATGGGAGACTGAAATCACAGAGGGACATGGGGACATTCTGGACATACATCCCCACAATATTCCCAGCATGCAGTACAGTTCCCTCCCCTCTGCTCGGGGGATAATTGGGAAGTAATTCAATTATCTCCCCGAGCAGAGGCAATCGCCATTTTAGATACAAGTTACAAAAACACACAAAAATCCATAACTTAATAACTGCTGAACATTTTACATCAGTCTTGCATATCCCCAGATAGCCTGGATCTGAGGGCACATTATTGGAGAATAGCGCTCAGATCCCATTCGCACAGTTCAATCGCCATGGAGTCAAAGTCTCTTTCAGTTCTTCGGTATGCGATTGACTCCATGGGACGGCTATCTGGGTTAAGTCCATTCGTGTGGTTGAATCTCCCGAACGGCTGTCGTTCGCATGCTTTTGTCGATTGAGAAGGGGAGGTCGACGGCTTCAGCGGTGTTCGGCTGAAAAAGTGTCCGTTTTCCGATCCATGAAATAATCGTTGAACACCGCTGGTCGTTCGCATGGACAAAATGGCCGCCGCCTCGTGGTCGACATACGAACGACGACCACCCGGCATTCGGTTTTTAATTGAGAAGTGTCTGTGGTTAACCGCAACGTTCTAATTGGGATCAATAGGTTAACCAGCAGCACACTTCTCTTCTGGGTGGCCGTCCGTTCGGTAGTTCCGTTCGACAAAACCGACATTCTCTTAAACAAAGCATACGAACGGGGAAATTCATGAAAACGGCAAAGCAGACGAACAACGCAGTTATAATCCAGACAGATGGGTCTGTCACAAATAGTAGTCAGATATCGTCCCCTGGCAATTCGATCTAATAAATAGTCCACTCAAACGGAGAGAACCCAGTGGACTCCTGTGGTACCTCTCGATATGCAAACAAGAGGTGTGGCAGGAATCACTCCCAGTCTCTGTACTCGGCTGTAAAGGTCCGCAGTAACTGTTTCAGGTACCATTAAAGCGCTCACAGAGACCGTTAGTCTGGGGGTGGTAAGGTGAGCTGAGAAGTAACTGTTGGGTTAAGTCTGCGGTTGTGACAGACCCATCTGTCTGGATTACAAATGCTTTGTTCGCCTGTTTTGCCGGTTACATGAATTTCCCCATTCGTATGCTTTATTCAAGGGAATGTCGGTTTTGTCGAACGGAACTACCGAACGGACGGCCACCCAGAAGAGAAGTGTGCTGCTGGTTAACCTATTGATCCCAATTAGAACGTTGCGGTTAACCACAGACACTTCTCAATTAAAACCGAATGCCGGGTGGTCGTCGTTCGTATGTCGACCACGAGGCGGCGGCCATTTTGTCCATGCGAAAGACCAGCGGTGTTCGACGATTATTTCATGGATCTGAAAACGGACACTTTTTCAGCCGAACACCGCTGAAGCCGTCGACCTCCCCTTCTCAATCGACAAAAGTATACGAATGCCAGCCGTTCGGGAGATTCAACCACACGAATGGACTTAACCCAGATAGCCGTCCCATGGAGTCAATCGCATACCGAAGAACTGAAAGAGACTTTGACTCCATGGCGATTGAACTGTGCGAATGGGATCTGAGCGCTATTCTCCAATAATGTGCACTCAGATCCAGGCTATCTGGGGATATGTAATACGAATGTAATATGTTCGGCAGTTATGAAGTTATAGATTTTCATGTGTTTTTGTGACTTGTATTTAAAATGGCGATTGCCTCTGCTCGGGGAGATAATTGAGTTACTTCCCAATTATCCCCCGAGCAGAGGGGAGGGAACTGTACTGCATGCTGGGAATATTGTGGGGATGTATGTCCAAAATGTCCCCATGTCCTTCTGTAATTTCAGTCTCCCATTTGGTCCCCTAGGGGAGTGTCCACCAGGTGGGAGACCTGCATAAATACCGGGCAGGTAGACCACAGTAAATCAGTTCGTGTTTTACCCTCAAAGCAGAGCTTGGTCTCGTTATTGGGGGGATTTGGTTACCAGCGACTAGAGACTACTTATTTGGATTATTTGCCGCTTGGGAGATATTGACGTTCGGTTACTATTTGCCGTTCGTGGATTTGCAGCTCGTGAAGGGAATTAGCCGTACAGGTACCGTTCGGGAGCTTGGAGTGTTCCCTGGCTGGCGGTTCGCATGGTTTTATTATACCCGCTACCCGACCACATTATTGCGAACGGGGGATACTCGCTAAACGGCGGTTTGTACATTTTACTACTGGAGGTACCGTAACAGCGGTAAACTGAGTCCCTCTCTCAGACAGTATTTCTTGTGGGAATCCCACTCTGG